TTTTCAGGACAGGGTTTCTCTGTATAACAGTCCTGGCTGTCCTAGATCTCTCACTCTATAGACAAGGCTGGCCTCAAACTCAGAGATCTGCCTGCCTCTGCCTCCCACATGCTAGGATTAAAGGTGTGTGCCACCACTGCCAATGTCAAATAGATATTTTTTCCTGCCCCCTTTCCCCAAATAGATATTTTTAAAGGAGCTCTCCTTTCATCTGAGTAATCAAGCCATAGGTTGATTAATGGTATATAAAAGTAGTTATTTAATATTTCTTGAGACAGATTCACAAATACTCTCACTAAAATGAGAGTTACTTCAACTTTACAAGAATATTAGCAACATTGTCAACCCAGGCTGAGGGGCATTCGTGATTATTCCTTGCCCTTCCTCTTGCTGTGACCCTCTCTGTGGTGCTGGGACCTTCAGAGTAAGGAGGCTCTGGCCATCTGCAACACATGTACTCACTTCCCACTCCACACCAGTCTAGGGACTCTCCTTTGTATCCATCTTTAACGGTTGATATATCCCCAGCCTGTACGCAGCTCTAGACTAAATGGGTAGCCCAAGATGGCTACTGGATGGCATGGGGGTGATGGGAGGATGGAGCAAGGAAAGGAGAGCACCACAGGACCTGAGGCTACAGGCAGCGTCTGGCCCTTCCTGAGCCACCCTGTCTTGATGCAAAACTTGTAACAGACTAACACGTTTGAATTCTGAACTGGCTTTCTGGGTTGTTAATATGGCATGTCAAAGTAGATAGTAGTTTATTTCTTGATTTCAGGTGAACTGTTTAAATGGTAGGTTTCCATCTGGACTTTAAACCCTCTACCCTGCAAATATTAAAGGTGGGCTTGGTTTGCAGGCAACAAGTGGCATCACCTTTGTAAGGTTCCATACTGCCCACCTCCTCCCTACCTCTGCTCCTGCAGGTTCTTGCCTCCATATCTCTGCCTAGTTGCTATGGTGTGACATAGCACGGCCCGTCTCATCTCCTTCCTTTGCACCCTGCTCCTGGCCTCACCTCTCCATTCAATTAGAACCTCCATGAACTTCCAAGCAGTTATTAACCTCTTTCTTTTTCTTCCTTTCTTTCTGTCTTCCTTCCTTCTTTTCTTTCTTAATTTCTCTCTCTTTCTTTTTAATTTAAATTAGAAACAAGCTTTTGTTTCATGTCAATCCCAGTTCCCTCTCCCTTCCCTCTTCCCCTGCCCCCCACCAATCCCCTAGCCCATCACTTTTCTGCTCCCCAGGGAGGGTGAGGCCTTCCAAGTCTGTCACATCATTTGGAGCAGGGCCTAGCCCTTCCCCCCTTGTGTCTAGGCTGAGAGAGTATCCCTCTATGTGGAATGGGCTCCCAAAGTTCATTCGTATACTAGGGATAAGTACTGATCCACTACAGGCCCCATAGATTGTCCAGGCCTCCTAACTGACACCCATGTTCAGAGAGTCTGGGTTGGTCCTATGCTGGTTTCTCAGCTATCAGATTGGGGTCTATGAGCTCCCTCTTGTTCAGGTCAGCTGTTTCTGTGGGTTTCTATAGCCTGATCTTGACCCCTTTGCTCATCACTCCTCCCTCTCTGTAACTGGATTCCAGGAGTTCAGCTCAGCGTTTAGCTGTGGGTGTCTGCTTCTGCTTCCATCAGCTATTGGATGAGGGCTCTAGGATGGCATATAAGGTAGTCATCAATCTCATTTTCAGGGAAGGGCATTTAAGGTAGCCTTTCCACTATTGCTTAGATTGTTGGTTGGGGTCATCCTTGTAGATCTCTGGACATTTCCCTAGTGCCAGATTTCTCTTTAAGCCTATAATGGCTCCCTCTATTATTGTATCTTTCTTGCTCTCCTCTATTCTTTCCCCGACTTAATCTTCCTGCTACCTCATGTCTTCCTCTCCCCTCCTCTTCTCCCCTTCTCTTTCTCCTAACTCCCTCTCTCCTCCCTCTACTCTCCCGATTTGCTCAGGAGATCCTGTCCCTTTTCCCTTCTTTGGAGAACCATATATGTCTCTCTTAGTGTCCTCCTTGTTTCCTAGCTTCTCTGTTGGTGTGGATTGTCTTAACCTTTTCAAAACAGCTGTCTGTGGTCATTTGCATTTACCCCATTCTTTCCTGTACTGGCCAGTGAGCTCCTGGAACATTTGCTTTTGAAGATTCTCCTTTCCTGCCACAAACTTGTCCATGCAGGCAATGACTAAAATGCATCGAGCCACATTTACATGCACACCTCTTTAGAGACTAGAAAATAAAACTACAGTTATCTATAAAGAATGGCCATTCTATTGGAATGTGAGTGACTTAACCCTTGGTCAGAAAGCTGTAGCCAACATCATGCAGTTTCCTTTCAGGGACAGAAGACAAAGAAGTCAAGTCAGCCAGCAGTGCACAGAACCCTCTGTATGTCTAATGAAATTGTAGTAGAGGGAGAATATTTTAAGTTCTCAGAGACTTTCAGAAGAGATGTTAGTGTCTTCTTTTGATAGAATGTGGTTATAGTTATAGCCACCATGCCTGGCTTGAATATGTCAAAAAATAAGAAAGTGGCCTCAACTGCTTGACTGCTGAGACAGAGAACCAGCATGTATTCTGGTAGATACAAATAATAACAGCAATCTATATGTTCATATTCTAGTTTCCTAAATGTGTTGAGAAAAACAAGCCAATATTCTATCCCAAACCTCCTAAAACCTTTGCTCCTAACTCATCTTTAAATCCATGGGATGCTGTGAACACTGCAAAGGAAGCCAACATACAGAGAAACCTTGAGAGGAACCACTGGATCACTTCATACACTCATGATTTTACAGGTATGAGTTCACACTGACACAAGTAGTGAGAACGGAACACTCAACAATACTCTAACAAGCTCCATCTTCTGGTCTTCTGTTCTGTTACTCATTAGAAAAACTAACCCAAATTAGTGGGAGAGCTCAGTTTCTCTCTTTAGTGGGTAGCAGGGAGGTGGGGCTGGTTTATATTTTATTGTTCTAATTTATATGATAAAGAATAGCTTTTCCTACATAAAGAGTAGCTTAATAACCATTCTTTTACTCTGCCAAAATAATAAGACAATGTTTCCATTAAGGTCTGGGGCCCATGAGCCCCCTTGAACTGGATGATTACCATGAAAAGGAGGTAGCAGAGCTAACTGGACAGATAGGATTTGACCCACAGCCTGTAAGTAATTACAGTCAACTCTCAGTTATTTGGGGGAGAATATCCAGTCCTAGTCTCCTTGTTTTCCCATGTTTTCTGTCTTCAGTATTGGTGACCACCCAAGCAAAAGAAAATCTAATTGGTTTTGAAAGATAACAGTGAATTTACTGGAACTGATTTGGATACCCTTGTCACTATTTGGAAAAACAAAACTTCTTCACAGTACTTTATTTCGAACATATTTTCTATCAAGCTACTATTGATAAAATAATTCACAAAAGAATTTGCTTATGACAAGTAAAGCTTAACTAGTAATGTCATGATTCCTAATAAATTCTAGATCTTTGCAGATTTGTCTCTTACACATTCCATTATTTTGAAGAAAGTAATGACTTCTTCCTGGTAGTCAGAATAATTGAGAGTTGTCTGAATTACAATAAAAAGCCAATACATTTTTTTGCCTATAGTATTAGAGAATTGATTACATAAATGGCTTGAAATAAATTATCAAGCCCTGTAATAAAATATGTAATCTGTCACATCAATCATATAAAGAATATAATTTCATGTGGTGGTTTATCCTCTATAAATATAAATTTTGAAAACATAATTTTGAAAGCTATAATTGTGGAAATATATAAAACTATAAGCATATGAAAATATGGATTATTTTTTGAACACTCTAATTTTATATTAGCATAAACATTTGTGTCCTGAATTGGGTCAGTAAACTGTGTTTTATCAGCCACCAACCAAAGGGCTTTTAATTGTTTTGATTTTGTACTTGCAATAGGCACTCTTTTGGATTAGACATATGCTCTGACACCGAGGTATGCTCAACATACATGACCAACTCCAGGAAAGCATATTTAGTGGTGATAAAAATCCCTGTGAAAACTTTTTTCAGAATGAAATGCAGGTCCTAGGGCTAGAGATGTTGTTCAGTTGGTAATGCCCTACCTTAGCATACATGAAATCCTGGTTTGATTTCTCAGTACCTGATAAACTAGGCATGGTGACACATACCTATAATTCCAGAACTTGAAAAGTGGAGGTGACAGGTTCAGGAGTTGAAGGTCACACTCAGCTGCATAAACATACAGTTCAAAGCCAGCCTGTGACACATCAAAAGAAAGGAGTATTAAAAGCTGTTGCTCAGAGCAGATACTATTAAAGCCTGATATCCATTTCTTTAATGACAGATGTAGTAAACTTTCATAAAGCTGGAGTTTTTCTTTGCCTCATAGCATATTAACATTTGATTAGCTAAAGTTTATAACTATTAATGATCCACTATGAAAATTCCTCCAACTAGGATAATCCAAAGGGATGATCCAAAACTTTAAGTCCATGCTACTGTTAATATTTTATCACCACTTTTTTTTTAAAACATTGGCTGTCATGTAGCCCAGGCTGGCCTCAGACTTTCTATGTAGCCCAGGATGACCTTAAACTCCCAATCCAGCATCTATGTCCCTAATGTTTGGGTTACAGCCTTCTGTCACTATGCCCAGTTGTATGAGTTATGACAGATTGAACCCAGGAGTCTAAGCAAGTATTCAACCAAATGAACTACATTCCCAACCCCTCCCCCACACACTCATCATAATTGCCTTTCCCTGCTACTGACATGCTTATACTGCTTTTTGGTGTTTGTTTTAGCATATTACCATAAAAATTTTCAAACATACAGAAATAATTTTCACTTAAGACCTGTATACTCAACACCTCACCATACTCAATCTTTCACATAATCTATTCCCTTTAACCATCCAATATTTTTATTATTTTTACACATTTTAGAGTGAAGTATAGATCTTAGTATACTTTACCCATTAAGATTTGGCATGCTTGTCCCGTGCCTTTCTCTGCTCCCCTGTGCCCAGTCTTGTAGACTGGCAGGACACACAACAGTTTCCCTGTCACTTTAGGAGGCCTGTCCTAAGAAGAGGGCTAGCTCTTAAAGGCACGAGAGGACAATTTAGGGAAAAAAAGATTTGGCATACATACCATTCATTTAAAATTCTGTTTTTATGCTTTTCACTCAATGTGAAGTATAAATTCAATAAAACTGTATAAATCATATGTGTACATTTGTTAAAAATAACAAATGTGTACAGCTTTCATTCAAGTTTCTGCCACAATATAGAACACAGGCCACCATCCATGTCCTCATAGGCCACCTCTTCTCTCCCACCCACAGAGCTCCAGTAATAGTATCCTGATTATGCTTCTTATTTTTGCAGTTTCTAAGCCTGATTGAATCCATACTTTTAAAACGCCTCAAAAGGAAACACAGATGGGACAGTAGGTACAGCTCAGTGACAGAGCATGTACTTGGCATGCACAAGGCCCTGTGCTCAGGCCTTAAACCAAAAAGCAGGTATCAACTGAACACCTCAGACAGTGCTTCTCAAAGCATTTGCCACCAGCCTTAGAAGCACCTGAGACACTTGTTAAAATGCATGTTCCTGAGTTGGGAGGTTAGCTCAGAGTACATAGGTTTGTTCTCTTACACACCCTCCCCAAACAGAGGGATCCCAGAACCCTACCATAGATCTTCCAAGCCCTAGTCTTAGAACTAAAGCTTAAGATTCCATTTGCTGCCAGTTCTGAAGGTGATTTTGATTCAACCCAGGCTTAAGAACTCTTACCTTGCCTACATGGTTTAAATAACTGCACAGATAGTTAATGCAATCCTGATCTCATAAGCAAGGCCCTCAGTATCTTTAAAATTTTGAAAGCCAAGAATTCCCACACAGGAAAGCTATCTATAGCCAAGTAAAACTATACTTTCCATTTTACCAAAAGCCAGTAAAAGAAAAAAAGATGTATTTACTTGAACCCAAATTTCAGTGTACTCAAATAAATACCAAGGAATCTTAGTGTGTACACTTCCACTGTGCTCCTACTTACTGATAGTGAAAATGGGTATGAAATTGGCCTACCACTTGTAGCCATATCATTATAATGCTACATTTATTAACCAGTTGATTTTTCTTCCTCTTATTCCACTGGTATAGCAAGAAAAATTCCATCCTGCCTTAAAACCTCCCAGACCTTTGGAAGGTCGAATTGCCCGACTTATTCAGAACCAACGGCCTCTGGAGGCTACAGTACAGCAAGGACCACCTTCCTGTCCAGATTGTACCCCTAGAGTTTTGTGTGCTTTTCATACATTCATACCAAGTTCTACAGAAATGATGGCAATGAATGATAACCTCCTGCCTGGAATTACCCATAAAAACCAGGATATCGAAGAGAAGATTAAAGAAGAACAAGGTTTGATGTCTACCTATACACTCCCAACTTGTTATCCAGCAAAAGACCTGATGAATCTTTATGACCTAAAATCATTTCCAAAGATCACAGACACTAAAAAGACAGATGATTTGTACTGGAGACAGCTGGACTTGAAGCCCCTACCCATATCCTATTCTAAGTCAAACCATTACATTGACTACGAACCACTTAAATCTGCTTTCCGTGATCCCTATACTATATGTCAAAGCCCTGTTCGCCTTAGTAAGTCTAATATTCTACAGAACAAAACAGATATGGATAATTTCAATTTTGGCAACTTTTCAAGTAAACCAGAATTTTGGGGCATGGACATGGGAAACAATGAAGAAACAAGACCTATTTTGGGATGGATTCCCAGAGCTGGAGTGCCCAAGCCTCAGACCAACCTGCTAGATCTTAGGAACTCATTTTCAAAGTCCATGGCACAAAAGCGTTTGCATGATTCCATCCAAGAAGAACAAAAAGATCTCAGGGATAAAATACAATGTGGAAGGAGACATCAGTTCTATGGCCACAATGCCCATTATTTCTATAATTGAGATATTCCCTCTTCCCTTCAAATCCAAGCCTCTTGCAAGAAAATAAAATATGTCACAGAGTGCCCTGCATTTGGCTGGATTCTGTTTCTGTATTGAACCATAATGACATTAATGAGGTTTGTGCTTTTTAGGATCTTGTCCGAGGGACCAAAATAATGTCCTGACTTCTCAAAACATTTAACAGTCTGTCAACAAAATATCAGAGCCAGAAAAATCAGTCTTTTGTCTCATCTTCAAAGGATACTCTGAAGAAATTTCCCAAAACCAGGAAAATCAATGTGTAGACAAAATTTACATCATCATTTTGTGAGAAATGAAAAGTTGAAAAAAATTCAAATATTGAAGATTTGACAGACAACTATAGAATGTATTATGCTTTAATAAAATTAATATGTCAACAATCTCTTTCTGTAAATTATTTCACAATATAATGGGTAAAAGAGGTAAAATTCATCTCTGTGAGTTCAAGGCCAGCCTGGTCTACATAGTGAGTTCCAGGAGAGCAAGTCTATGTAGAGAACCAGTCTCAAAAGAAACAAAGAGGGGGTACAATCTAAATTCCCAATTAATTAAAGATAGAGTGGCTCTCCAAACTATAGAACTTCAATAAAAAGTATGTCAAGTCAGTGGGAAAGATGAATCCTGAATGTTCTACATGTACAGGTTACATGTGCTTCCTTCCTCTTAGCCTTCTGATTGAAAACCTATACAGATAAAATTATTTTGTTATAATCCAGACGACTTATATTTTCAATTTTGGCAAGAACAACTGTGGCTTGCTTCCAATTATTCCAGAGCCCAACATCTTCATCTTTGAAATGTTTGCCTACTGTGTAGGTAACTCCCATATGCATGTTAACACATCAGTGTACCAAGGGGTGTGTTTGTAGAAGTTCTCTCTCACTCTCTTTATTTGTCTGGCCATCTTAGCCTCAGTGTGGGGTCAGAGAGCAACCTCTATGAGTCTTCTTCCACTGTGGGTTCCAAGAATCCAGCTCAGGTCATCAAGCTTGCATGGCAAGTGGTTTAAAACATGCTGAGGTATCTCACTAGCCCAAGAAGTACATAATAAAAATAATATACCAAGCAAGTTAAGTACCTTGAAGAAGTTATGAGTTGAGAAATAAACTAAGTTGCTTACAAGAGGCTCAGAAGAGGCCAGCTGCCCCAAAGAACAGGCCAGTCAAGCTACATGAAAGAAGGGAGATCAGCTGAGCTGCCTAAAAGAGAAAGGTTCAGAGCTGCATGAAAGAGCCTCCAGCATGATGAGCTGCATCAAGTTATACAAGCTCCAAGTTACCAGCCTTTGTGAACTGTCACTAGTGCTGAGGCAGGCTATGAAGCAGCTGTCTTTTGAGTCATTTCTGTTCCGATAAATAACCCCTCACCTATATTCCTATAAGTGACACCAGTAGAACTCATTGGTTCACACAATATAGTTATGTGTTTTACATTATTTTTGTCTTTATGACTAACATATACATTTTTAAAGATTTATTCATTTATTATGTATACAGTGTTGGGCCTGCATGTGTCCCCACAGGTTAGAAAAGGGCACCAGATCTCCTTAGAGGTGGTTCTGAGCCACCATGTGGTTGCTGGGAATTGAACTCAGAACCTCTGGAAGAGCAGTGCTTTCAACTGCTGAACCATCTCTATAGCCCACATGTACATTCTTAAACTTATTCTGAGCTAAAATTATGAACAGTTTTGCAAATTTCATTTTATACAGCATTAGGTAGGTTTTAAGGAAAGCAAAAATTTCCATATTGAAATACTATCGTGTACTACAATCATGTGACAATTCTTAAGTTATTCATAGTCTGTGTAAAATTCTTGGCTGGAACATAGCTCAGTGGTGGAGTACTTCACAAGTTTGCTTCCTCGCCTCTCAGTACTCATAAACTGACTTACAATGGATTAGGCTTGGCTTAAGAGAATTGCTCTAGATCACTAAACTGCCTCCATGTCAGGAATAAGATGTCTCACTTCCTTGTATTGCTGGAGCAGTGATTCAGGTTTCTTTCCTTCGATAAGGAAAGTCTCACCATTTGTCACAGAGAGCCTGACTGCTAAGCTGTCCTCACGTTCACTGTGCTTTTCTGACCAAGCTTAATGCTTTCTGGGCTTTAATCTTAAGGAAAGAGATGTGGTTCTCTGCTTCGCATGTCAACACTCAAAGGAAATTAGTTATATTAGTCAGGGTTCTCTAGGGCCACAAAACTTATAGAATGAATCTCTCAATCTCTTGATTGACTGGCTGATTGATTGATTGATTGGTTGGTTGAGATAGATAGATAGATAGATAGATAGATAGATAGACAGACAGACAGACAGACAGACAGGTAGAATGGGTTGGATGGAGTAACTTACATGTTGCAGTCCAACAATTACTAGCTGTGAATAGAAAATCCAAGAATCTCCTTCCATTTTCTGTCCAGCAGAAGGTGTGGCCCAGATTAAAGGTGTGCCTTCCTCAAGGTCTGGATTAAGAGTGGCATGTGTTATCCAGCCTCAAGATCTGGATCAAAGGCTTGTGTGTTGTCTTACTTCAAGGTCTGAATTACAAGTATGCCTGCTATTTCTGAATTATAATTCATTTTAGATATAGTCAAGGAGACAATCAAGAATAGCCATCACATGAGCACATCCTCTAAAACACAAAACAAACAAGCAAATAAAAACTAGCATCTTCAGATTTGTTCCATACAGGGTTGCCACAAACCTGTAATCTGAAAGTAGAAAACGGGATGTACAAAGAGGAGGGGAAAAACAAAGCATAATAAAATGAGGAAGAATACTTGTGCAGATAGATGAGAGAAGATTTGATAGGATTGTCTATGTGATGGATGTCTATGTGACAGTGGATGGTGAGAAGTTCTTGACAGACCACCTGCAAGCTGGAAAAACCAGAAGAGAGTAGCATAGCTAACTTCAAACCCAGAGAGCCCCCAACCAGGGATTCTAATAGTCCAATTCTACCTGAGAACTGAGGGTTACTGGGGAAATTTCCAAAGGCCAGAGAACCTAGAATCCCTTGTCCCAGGAGCTCTGGCTCCTGGAGAGACAGCAGGAGTGCTCCTCTCTGTTTCTTTGTGTCTTCTGGACCCTCCACCATTGCATGTGTGTGAAAGGGGTA